GCGTTCACATCCACGAGTATTACGAGAATATGTTAAAAGAATAAGTCATACGTCTCTCTAGACGATGGTCAACAGAAGTCAAAGTCCTTGCCTCTAGGGCAATTTCGTAAATTCACGCTTTTAAAATAAAATAAAAACGTAAAATTTGGAACGGGTTGTCACATCCTTACTGAAAGTTTGAAAAGGGATCGATAGCAGTTTTTTTTTTAGCCCCTTACTATATATAATACGTCATTGTTTAAATTTTTTTTTGCAAAAGGCATTAATGTTTAGTGAAAAAAAAATGTGAAAGATGACAGAGAAGTTTTAATATCTAAAAAAAATTCTTTGAGAAAAACCCACAAATTAATATGTATTAGAAAAAACTGCTCGACCTTACCTGACGTGGAGACAGCGGAGGATCAATCGAGACAGGCGATTTGTGAGAAGCTGGTTGTTGAACCAGCTGGTCATCCTCAGGGTTCATTTGGTACTGCTTTCGTCTACGCATACGCCAGCCATTTCTACTTCTTTTGGTCGAATTAACGTTAGCTGCAGCTCTAAACTCGTCTACGCATACACCCATGCAAACTGTTTTCTCTGGAAAACTCTCACTCTCTCTCCCGCTCTGAGTTGTGTGGGTCATGTGAAGGGCAAGACCTGCTTTCAAAAAGATGGAGGAAGGTCTGAGGTGGAGATTAATGTACGTTTAAGGGGTCTCACTACTGATTGACAGCTGCAATCACACCACCTATTTGAGTGACACGGTCTACTCAGATAAGTAACGTCAATTGATGTGGATCTTGACTAGGTTCATGGAACCTAGATCTTTGAGCTAGCAAAGCTTAAAATGACAATTTTTCCCTTAGTTCGGGTCGTCGTGGTTCGCCCCAAATGGGTCGTGCATGAAGAGTAGAAAAATGGAGAATGCGAAAGGGTTTGGGAAATTTTTTATCAAGGTGATTGGGGCAGGACAGAGATTGTATTTTCACCTTCGACCCAAACCCGCCCCATCAGCACTTCTATATGTACTCAATGTTATCGGTCCTTTTTTTTTTTTTTTTTTTTTTTGTTTAAATTTCATTAAGGTTTAGTCGAACGAGATCGTCAAGAAAGGTTCGTATACATTGGAACACTCGAGGATTAACCTGTTAGGGCCACTTTAAGATTTTGTGCTTTTTTAAGAGATTGATTCTTGTATGCTTTAAGAATAATTAATCATAAAATAAATAATTCAACTATTTAATAAATATTATTTTTAAAAATAATGTGAGTATGAATAACAATGGAAAGACGCTCAGTAAAATTTATTGGAAAACAATATAGTTGTGTGTAATGATAAAAATAGACATAGTGGGGTGGTGGTGATAACAATAGTGGCAACGATGGTTGTTGAAGTAATAGGTGACAGTTGTCACTTTTTTTCTTTCTTTCTTCTTTGTTTTTTTTTATTTTTTTATTTTTTTCAACAGAGGAAATACATGTGTAAAAGTAAATAATGCCATTTGTACAAACTAATGAACGTATATATTCATTAGCGCCCTAGCTCTAGTTTTTAATGAAAGCATGATTTTAAAACTAGGATATTTTATTACTAAATATTTTTTTTATTTGCTTAATTTCAAAGTGAAGTAGTTTTTTGGTGAAAAAAATAGCAATACTAAATTGGTGACAAGTGATTTTTATATGCTATGTCAATTAATAAATTTATTTCATTGAATGTTGGTTGTATTCATAGCTTGCCACATCAGATGATACAATTGGGCCCGGTCAAAGATCTAAACTGTTTATTTTTTTATTTTTTTGAACAATCCATATTTCTATGTTAATGTGACGATCCGTTCCTAATTTTATATTTAATTTCTCCCCAAATGTGTAAATTGACATTTATGTCCTGGTGGGCAAAGTGACGTGAATGTTTTTATTAGCTTTTAATTTATTTTTCTCATTATCGTAATTAAATTGTACTTATCATTACGAATGTGCATTAAATTGTTCATTGTCAAAAACATTGTTTTTGATAAAGCACAGTAGATTTCTTGTGATTTCATCTGTACAAAATCCTATCCTTTCTCTTCTTTAAAACCAGACATGTGCCCTACACTTCACCACCAATTAGAGCACTTCCAGCGTTAGCTGGAGCTTGGGGGACAGGCCAGCAAACAGGGCCCGAGAGCCCGGCCTATTGACTTCAGCGTGTGGGAGCCGGAGGGACAGGGCATGCCTGAGCACTAGGCCCATCACGAATTGCCAGCTCGTGAGCTCGAAGGCTATCTGACGCAAGGCTGACGTCAACCCGTTTTTTTTGTTTTTATTTGTCAAGTGCGTGCACTGCACCCGCGCGTAAGGGTGCGTCACCCAACATGTTTTCAGCAAATGGGGCCCGCGGTGCAGTTTCAAATTGTTACCGTTGGATCTCAACGACAAGAAAACGTGGATTGTCAGATTTGCAACGGTTAAAAAAAATAAAAAAATCTTATTTAATATCAACCGTTGGATCTGAGATCAACGGTTTATATTATTCTCCTTTATAAATAAAAAAAAAATAGTTTTAAAATTCAAAAATGTTACCATTGTGCCACGTGGCACAATCTGGAGTGTTGGAATTCATTTTTTTTTTAAATCCAACGGCAAAGATTAATTAGTTGAATAAAAAAAATTTTAAAATTGTAAAAAATGAATAAAAATCCAAAAAAAAATTTGAAAATTCTTTTAAAAAAAATTGTTTTTACTTTTCTATAAATACTTTCTCATTATCATCTTCTTTACACCATAATTTCATAATTTGGTAATTTATTTATACGAAGAGAATCTTTATTCAAAAGACATTTAAACACACCAAATAAAATTACATAAACAAACCAAATACTCAAAAAACTCACTAAATGAACTAAAAAAAACACACCAAATAAAATTAAATAAACACATCAAAAAAAAAAAAACAAACACACTAAATGAACGTAAGTATCTTGAGCTTGTTTCAATTCCTACTGGTGCTCTATCAAATCAATTTGCCAAGCATTGTGCATATATGGCTTTTGAAGTGCAGTATATCGTTGAATGATCAATTCATTGTAACATCCATCCTTTTCTAATGGCTCATGTTGCACAGGTTATTCGATGGCTTCATGAGCACAATATATACGTGTTCTTGAATTGTTCATCGTGTCTGACTCATATTCATCAACGACATCATAATCGTACTCATCTTCTACAATCATGTTGTGAAGAATGATGCACGTCATCATGATGGATCGAAGCGACTCTCTATCAAACAATCTGGCAGCACCTTTGATGATTGCCCAGCGAGCTTGGAAGATACCAAAACAACGCTCCACATCCTTCTTGCACCCCTCTTGACAGCTTGCAAAGTGTTTTTCCTTTGCACTTCGCGGACGTGACACTGTTTTGACAAATGTTGAGCACCTTGGGTAAATGTCGTCTGCTAGGTAGTATGGCTCGTCGTACATACGTCCGTTGACGCAATACGTGACTTTTGGTGTCTTTCCTTGCAGGACATCGTTAAACATTGGGGATTGGGTAAGGACGTTGAGGTCATTTTGAGCTCCCGAAACCCTGAAAAAGGTGTGCCAGATCCATGTATCAAAAGATGTCACCGCCTCCAAAATGATACTTTTTGCTCATTTTCTGTCCCCATAAGCACTTTGCTATGCATTTGGACAATTTTTCCACGTCCAGTGCACACAATCGATGCTTTCAATCATCCTAGGAAAACCTTGCATCTCACCCTTCTTCAAAAGCCTTTGCAAGTCCATATCAGTAGGTTTCCGGAGGTACTATGCGGTGTAGATAAATTTGATTGCTCTACAAAACCTCATCAGGGACTCAAGAATGGTTGATTTCCCCATCCTCGTTATCTCATGCACTTGATCTACAGATGCTTCATATGCAAGCATCCCGCAAGGTAGCAGTAATTTTTTGCTGAGGAATGAGACCCATAGCACCAAAAGCATCATTCTTTTGCACAGAGTAAGAATCATGGTTGTAAATAGTAATCATGATTCTGTTGAAAAAATGTCGTTCCATTCTAAAACGACGTTTAAAGTATGTATCAAGGAATGCACTATTACGGACAAAATAATCGTCCAAGTTCCGTACCTCGTCGTTGCCTGTTTCTATCAAGGTTTTTGAAATGGCTAGGCCTGCATATCTGACCCACAACTTGGATGACTCAACGGGAATATGAGGCTCTGCCCATTCTTATTTCGTCATCTCTCCTTCTATGCTCTTCATATTATTCCCTCTCATTTTGGGCCACTTGGAGATTGAACATTCCTTCTAATTGGTTAAACAATTCTTCCCTTTGTTGATCGATTTCCCACATCATCCTTGAAGAAGAAGACATTGTAAAAGTGAAACAAAAACTATGAATAATGATAGAGATTTTGGTGAAGAAGGAAGCATAAACTATGAATAATAATAGAGATCTTAAGAAAATTGGTGTGAGATTTGTGAGGATGAATGTTGGATTATATGGAGGATTCATAAAAGATTAGGTTGTAGATAATGTCAAGTGACATGGCGTCATTCGTTAAAAATCTGATGGAAATCTATCCTTAAAGATTGTAAACAGATTATGACATGTGACGTGACGTGACTGGTTAATAATCTTATCGGAAATCCATTACCAATAATTATATTTTCAAATAATGACACGTGACGCAATGACTACAATTAAAAATCTTATTGGAAATCCATCACCAATAATTGTATTTTTGGATTTTATGACACGTGGCGCAACGAGAACGATTAAAAATCTTATCTGAAATTACAAATAAAATTATTTTGTATTATTTTATAACTTTTTAGATAATGACACGTGCAACGATAACGATTAAAAATCTTATCTGAAAGTACAAATAAAATAATTTAGTATTATTTTATAAATAAAAATAATACTAACATTTTATTGCATATTGCCAAAGCTATTGTAGTATAATAATTTTATCCATGAACGAATAGTATAGTGTATTGGCTGGGTTCCCACGCTCTTATTTTGCTTCCCTCATTATTGCAACTTTTTACTCCTCACTCACCCTCTCTTCCTTTTTCACCAATCAGAACTCACTTTCCTTATCTGCCCTCTTTTCCCCCTCTCTCCTCACCCGGGCTTCTCCACCTCTGCAACTACAACGACCTTCACCAAATCTTCACAGATCGAGTTTAAAAACTCCACCATCGTACTCCTCTCGTCACCACGAACCCAACCATACAACCAGATCGTGAAACGGACGAGTTTTGACTCGTCAACTCGGAAGGTCCGACTCGGACAAGTTTATTCCGACGTGATCCCGGCCGAGTCACGACGTTTTGAAGGTTGTAGGAGCTTCCTTACAACTCCCCGAGGCTCCTAGGTCAAGTTTGAAGAAGAAACAACCTCGAAAACACACGGTTTCGAGGAGTGAAGTTTTGGTTGCCTGTAACCAGTTACTCGTCTGCCTACGTATATTGGCTTGTTCATTCAGAACTCTTTATGAAATAGAAATACTTTGAAACTAAAAGTCTATAAGTTGTTTTCCTTGTGCGCGCGATCGATATGGCTGAGGCAGTGGTTTCCTTTGTGGTTGAAAGGCTTGGAGACTTAATCATTCAAGAAGCGAAGTTCTTGATTGGAGTCAGCGATCAAGTTGAGGCTGCACGAACTGAGCTACAATTAGTGCAGGGTTTTCTGAAAGATGCAGATGTAAGGCAACGAGATGATGAAACGGTACATATTCTGGTCGCGAAAATTAGAAATGCTGCTTATGATTTGGAGGATGTCATAGAAATTTTTGTCCTCCAAGTGGCCTCGAAGAGGGAAGGAGGTATTATGAAGGTTCTGAAAAGGTTTGGTTGTGTGCTGAAGGAAGGAGTTGATCTTCACAAAATTGGCTCAGAAATTGAGAAAATTACCACCCAGGTTTCCAATTTCAGGTCAAGCTTGCAAACTCATAACATCATGGAAATAAGGGACCCTAGAGGAGCCACTTCTTTGTATGAGAGGCGGCAACAACTAAGAAGAAGCTATTCTCATATTATTGATCGTGATGTTGTCGGTTTGGAAGCTGACGTACGAGAATTGGTTATGCAGTTGGTGAAGAAAGAGCCCAGACACCAAGTTGTTTCTATATGGGGCATGGGCGGTATAGGAAAGACAACTCTTGCAAAACAGATTTATCGTCATGATGAAGTTAGACGCCATTTTGGCAGCTTTGTGTGGGTATGTATCTCTCAACAATGTCAAGTAAGAGATGTTTGGGAACAACTTTTAATTAGACTTCTTTCTGCTACCACCGTGCAAAGAGAAGAAATTGCAAAAATGACAGATTATGAAATAGCCAAGAGAATTTATCTTCTACAGCAAGAAAGTAGATGTTTGGTTGTCATCGATGATATTTGGAGCATCGAGACATGGGAGACTTTGAAAGCTGCATTTCCACTAAATCAGAGAACAGAAAGCAGAATATTACTCACAACTCGAGTCAAGGAAGTAGCTTTGCATGCAGCAGATAGAAATGGTATCCTCCACCAACCTCGGCCGTTGAACGAAGATGAAAGTTGGGAACTATTGGAGAAGATAGCAATCTTCGGAAGAGAAGAAATAAGTAATTTCTCACCCCATTCTATTCTCCTGGATTACTTTAATTTCTTATTTCAATTGATTTCATATTCCATTTGACCCAAATTAAAAAGAAATACGTTTTCAAACCTCCGTGTATGCTAAAGATTCGAACAAGGAGGACATGAAGAAAACAAATGGGTTTCAAACAATTTCACATGTATAAGTACATCTAGTTATTTCAATTACATTGCTAAACGATATATGGGAGAGTAAACCTAGTAGGAAGACTACGTTTTGTACCAAATTGATGTTCGATATTCTACACTAAGGGAAGAGAAAAAGGTTTGAATGCATGACACAGTAGGTTTAAGAGGAAGATCCTAACCACTAGAGTAATTCACCATTTACCTTGGTGTATATAGATAAAAAGATAGTATCTAAGATAAATTATATTGTTTTTTCAGTTATCTAGAACTATATGTGTGTGTGTGTGTGTATTTGGTGAGATATCTAGCATCCGTTTAGTAAAACCATTAACTTATACTTTATGTATTTGATAAATTCATTTCTTTAACTCTCCATTAGACAATGCAGTTGTCAATATGACAAATAATTAATGTGGTGTTTCATTATTTATCAGCCCCGGAAGTTTTCGGAAAGATGAAAGAAATAGGAAAGAAGATGCTTCAACATTGTGCCGGTTTGCCATTAGCTGTCATTGTGCTCGCAGGACTCCTTGCTAGAAAGGATACAATTGAAGAGTGGGATACAGTGCTTAACAATGTTTATGCATACATAAGAAGAGGCAAAGGCCATGAACAAGAATGCATGGGTACATTGTGGGTGTTGTCATTGAGTTATGATAACTTACCCTATCACTTAAAATCATGCTTTTTGTATTTAGGCATTTTCCCAGAAGATTTTGAGATACCAGTGAAAAGATTGACTCAACTGTGGATGGCAGAAGGTTTTATATCTATGCCACTACAACAAGGACAAGGTTTAGTAGAAACGATGGAGGAGATAGCATACAACTACTTAAATGAACTGGTGGACAGGTGTGTGGTTCAAATTGGGGAACGGGGTTCTGTTAGAAAGATCAAGTCTTGTCGTCTTCATGATCTTATGCGAGACTTGTGTTTGATAAAGTCAGAAGAGGAGGGCTTTCTCCAAAATGTCAGATCATTGCACAGAAGTGAGACTATGTATTCTCCTCCTTCTCTGATGATAGCCAAGGCAATACCAACGGGTAAGGTTCGAAGACTTGCCATCTGCTTGGATGAAAATGTTGATAAATTAGTTCCATCAAGTTATGAAAGAGATGACCGTCTCAGGTCTCTTTTATACTTTTGCCCATTAGATTGGTATCCAAAAAATGAAAAGCTAGTATCATCACTGTTTAAGGACTTCAAATTGCTCAGAGTTTTGAAGATTGAAGGTATGACTGCATTAGTATACTTGCCAAATGAAATTGGGAATATGGTCCACTTGAGATTCTTAAGTCTAAGATATAGTCATATAAAACGGTTGCCATCTTCCCTGGGCAATTTGATACTTTTGCAAACTCTGGATCTTCGCATTCATAATGACCCGGATATGTTACCAAATGTATTTTGGAAGATGGTGCAACTGAGGCATTTGTATTTACCCTTGTATTACACCGCACGTGGTAATACACTACACCTATCTACTCTTCACAATTTGCAGACTTTAAATTATGTTTCGAGTCGCTGTTGTGAGTTGAATGATCTTGCTGGGTTAACCAGTCTCAGAAAACTGGTCATAGAATTGGCAAGCCCCTTGAAAAATTTGGAGGAAACCTTGAAAGGTATAAGCAGCACACTCAATGGCATTCGATCTCTATTTGTGCACAACTTACTTGGAACTGACAGTGGCCCGGAGGTAACACAAATAGTATTGAGTTGTCGTCATGTGTACAAGCTGCAATTGATTGGTCGAACAGTAGAGTTACCTGGAGACCTTCAGCACTTTCCAAACCTCACTAAGTTATCTCTGCGCCGGTGTGATCTCAACCACAACCAAATGGCGGTACTAGCGAAGTTGCCAAATTTGAAAATCCTATGCCTAATGGAAGAAACTTTTGAGAGTTCAATTTCAGACACACTGGTTTTCTCCAACGAAGGCTTTCGTCATCTTGAATGTCTTTCCCTTAGTTTTATGTATGAGTTAAAGGACTTGAAGGTGGAAAGAGGAGCCATGCCGAGCCTCCGCCGATTGTTCATAAAAGGTTGCTACAGATTGACCGAAGTTCCAAACGGGCTGAGGTATCTTACTACGCTCAGGGAGTTAGGCTTCGTAGCGATGTCCACGACATTTCGTAACAGGCTTCAGGTAGGAGGAGAGGATTTCGATAAAGTCCAACACGTGCCTTCCGTTGTATTTGCCGACATGAGGGACAGGTACTTCTTGAATTTGAAAATCTCGAGGTTACTTCTGGAATTTATATTGATCTTCTTTAAACTTTTACTGTTATTCTCCATTGTTGGTTCTCTGTTTTTTGCTGTTTTTCTACTTCATGTTCATGCTCCTACTCTGACAGTCTGACCTGCCCTTTGTTATATACTGCTTGTTCTAATTCTCGATTCACTGTGTTTCGCTAAATTTTCAATAATTGTAACCTAAGCATATACCATATAGGGAAATTGTCGGTAATATAGTACTACCGTTCGTTGAGCAGCTAGAAAGAAGCAATTAAAAGGAATATATCTCTTATATTGCACAGCAGCACAAGCTGCAACTGATACAAATTATGTTATTAGCTTCTTTGTGGTGTAAAAATACTTTATTTGTTTCTTGCTTCCTTGTACAAGCTCTAATATTTTCTCAATTTGTTATTAGTTCTGAGATTGCGAAAATCCTATCAAGGCGTCGACACCTTTCTGCCCAAGGCTCGCGAGGTATTTCAGTAGGGTTTTTCATTTTGCAATCCAGTTTTTTCTTTTAAAATACGTATGATTTCTATCCCAGTGTACTGACTATTGTTGTTTTGCAATTTTGATCTAATTCATTCCAGGAAAAAACTTGGCGAGGTCTATATACGGCTGAAAAATAAGAAAAAATAGACGCTTTAGTTCGGTACTCAAGCAAGGTTAATTGGCGCCTACCGTTTCAGATTTGGTGCTTCTGGATGCCCAACATGGTGGTGCCAAAATTATTTGAATGGAAGCTGGATGACTTTACGTGTGATTAATTGAGACTATTTAAATTTCAAAATTGTGATCATCTTCTTTCTCCATCTGCGATCGTCAAGGACAATTTGGCCGAACAATGCTAAATCTTGTCGTTGTGATTGTTTGCAACTGCCTACTTTGTTAATGTTTATGCGATCTTCGGTTACAAATTTTGTTCAAATTTTTAATTGGTATCAGATCTTCAAGTTCAAAATTGGTTACTAATTAGCTCTTAATCTAGTGATGGTTCATTCGGTCTTTCCAGCATTGGAACAAGTAGTCGGTTCAAAGTTTTTCCTCCATCCGTAGAAAACAAAGTTGACTGGAATTTGCGGTGGTGGCTTCGAGGCTTCAAGTTCACGGTAGTGGTATGAGATTGACAGGTTTGATGGGAAGAATGAATTTGAGGTGGCCAATCATCAAGATAAATAGATAGTTTAAAGCACAATGATTAATAATTCAAAACTTGCATGCATAATATCATAAGCAAATTGAAAAGAAATTACATATTCTTACTAAGACTCATGATCTTTCCTTAGCAAACGAAACTAGTTAATAACAAATATAAAACAAAATATTATTAAGGACATGGATAGAAAACACTTTGAAAATAAACTTGAATCGTCAAGGCTCACTGAAAGCCAAAGTTTTGCATTCTCCCCCCTTTTAATCTAATGGCTAAAAAGTCTTATTTATACTACTACAAAATAAAATCCTACCTAGAAAAGGTCTTAGAATAAAATTAGAAAACATAATTAAATGATAAAACAGAAAATAAAAGGTTTTCTATTTGAACTAGAATTCGGAGTTCTCAGAAAATCACACTTTTGACCGATCAAATAAACTCGGATTTGGTCCCAAAATGTCTCTTTTTAAAGCTGAAGATGTCCCCTACCAATTCTCAGAAGGAATCTTCCTCAAAATACGCCATCTTGACCTCCAAAATACCCAAAACGTCCAGAAATGTCAATCTAGGAAAGTTGCGCGCTGGGTCTTAATTTCATCACCACGGTCAAACAGCTTGGTAGAAAAATCTAGAATTTTGATACAATCATCTTGAAAGACTCACAAACATCCTCCAATTAGAATCACTCGAAAATTCATCCTTTTGATCAATTTTTGCTTCAGAGGAAGTCTAATGTCTTACATTGAAAATATATAAGAAAGTATCAAAATTCTACCAAAATAACTAATAAATTATAACTAAGATTAGGGTAAAATATATAATATAATATAGACTCATCATGTATACAAGCTGAAATTGATTGGTCGAACAGTAGAGTTACCTGGAGACCTTCAGCAATTTCCAAACCTCACTAAGTTATCTTTGTGCCGGTGTGATCTCAACGACAACCAAATGGCAGTACTAGCGAAGTTGCCAAATTTAAAAAAACTTTGCCTAATGGAAGAAACTTTTGAGAGTTCAATTTCAGACACACTGGTATTCTCCAACGAAGGCTTTCGTCATCTTGAATGTCTTTCCCTTTTTTCTATGTACGAGTTAAAGGACTTGAAGATGGAAAGAGGAGAGCCATGCCGAGCCTCCGCCGATTGTTCATAAAATATTGCTACAGATTGACGGAAGTTCCAAACGGGCTGAGGTATCTTACTACCCTCAAAGGAATTAAGCTTCGTATCAATATCTACGATATACTTTGTTCAAATATAGGAGTGGCCAAGAATAAAATTCAAGAAAAAAAATCTATTGTATATAAAATATCTCAAGAAGTTATGTAAGGCATCCCGTATTATTATACAGGTCGGCTATTTCCAATCCATTTTAGTAGAAGGACGGTTCTACATACGAGTCCATAAGGCAAAGCAACGGAGCGCTCCAGGCCCAAATATTTTGAAAATCCCATCGCCCTTACCTCCGCCGTTGGATTATCAACCAATAATCCTGATCCAACGGTGGACATTGAGACAAGGATGCTTATCTAGAACTAGCGGATCCCTTATCCTACGCGCACTCTCTGTACCCTTTTCCCACTTCACTCTCATGGCAGCTGAGCTACAGCCACCGGAAGCTCCAATCACCGCCGGCCCGACAATTCCAACCACCACAACGACACAGCTGATAAATACAGAAGCATCCTTAACTGCCACAACGGCAATAGCAACCACAACGGTCGTACACGCCGCGGAGAACCACGGCCCCCGATTGGGCCCCAAAAGGCAGCGACGCCCCAGCGTCCGATTAGGCGAGATCGGCGACCAGCCCGCCGCTACTGGCTCATTTGAATCACATATGCGACGAGCCAGGCCCGGCTGGAGGCTCCGTTTGAGTCTCACTTAGGACCTCCAAAATCTCAAGACCAACCTTGAAGAAGAGTACGTGAAAGGTACAAAGATGTGTGTGGATAGCGTCACCCTAAAGAATAAGGTATCATTACCATTTGATTTGAACATGCAATAAATTGTAGAGTAAACTAGGTAGACTAAAATTGTAAATTAAATGATGCGTCGCCAGTAAAAAATAAATATGTTAATCAACACTTAAATATTAATTCAATTATCAATTTCTACATCATTTAGTTTACAAAAATTAGTCTACAAATTTAGTTTCCCTAGCATTACCCTAAATTGTAATACAATAAGGTCCAACCATAATAAATTGCAATTAATTAACGTGCTTATTTTCTGTTAGTGTCATATCACATTGTTTATAAATCTAGTCAAAAAAATTGATTTACGTAACATTACTCCTACATAGAAGAATATCATTATACCTAAGAAAAATACACTTATCGACGTGCATCTAGTCTCTTGTCTCTTCGTTACGGAGTTGCATGCATAAAAATTTCATTTGGACAGCGAGAAGTGATGAAGTCAAAATCCATATGATCCATACCAATGTCCCAGAAATCGTTAATTGGATAGCCAAACTCATAAGAGGATCCAGAAATATCACTTCCACACAACGGTGATGCGAAGACAATTTAAATGCACTATGATCATGTAAACTAGGAAAAATCATCTCATTTGCAACATTTACATTATCTCTAACGTTGTTGTTTGCATTTATCATCATTGCTTGATGATCTTCCATAATTACGGCCATACCAACATTGTTTTTCTCATTCACCGTAGTTTGATGGTCTTCTTCGACTGGAGCCACTGCCACATCAACATTGTTGTTCTCGTGCACAGTTGTTTGAAGATCCTCTTCGGTTTGGACACCTTCTTGATTGTTGGTGCTAGGAATTGCATCCATAACGCAAATGTTGACTGCAATATTCTCTGTTGTTTGATAATTATACTCTAAAACTCGCGGTACAACAAACAAGTCGACCCCAAAATCATGCAAAGGATCATAAGGTAATCTTGGAGGCAACCGGTTGTGCGTTGTTGGATATGTTAAATGTCGCATAGCATCCCTTCTAGCTCGGAGAGTCCAAGTCGTAAATAATCCATGTCGTTCAATTGTAAGTGGAGCCATACTCCTCCATCCTTTACCTCTAGGATATGGTAATGGAATTCTGCTTCTCTCTAAGAAATATTCAAAACAAGAAAATTAATATTATACTTAGAAAAAGGCATAAGTAACATGCCAAAAATGAAAACCTCCAACAAGTAAAAGGATAAATGTGGAAATCAATATATAGATTTTGTTCAAATTATATATATATATATATAGCATTTCGATTTTAGAAAAATTAAAACAACGACATTTAAATTGACTAAATAGAAAAACAATTACCGTATCAAAGCTCCTTACTGAAAGTTTGAAAAGGGATCGATAGCAATTTATTTTTTTAGCCCCTTACTATATATAATACGTCATTGTTTAAATTTTTTTTTGCAAAAGGCAATAATGTTTAGTGAAAAAAAAAATGTGAAAGATGACAGAGAAGTTTTAATATCTAAAAAAAATTCTTTGAGAAAAACCCATAAATTAATATGTATTAGAAAAAACTGCTCAACCTTACCTGACGTGGAGACAGCGGAGGATCAATCGAGACAGGCAATTCATGAGAAGCTGGTTGTTGAACCAGCTGGTCATCCTCAGGGTTCATTTGGTACTGCTTTCGTCTACGCATACACCAGCCATTTCTACTTCTTTTGGTCGAATTAACGTTAGCTGCAGCTCTAAACTCGTCTACGCATACACCCATGCAAACTGTTTTCTCTGGAAAACTCTCACTCTCTCTCCCGCTCTGAGTTGTGTGGGTCATATGAAGGGCAAGACCTGCTTTCAAAAAGATGGAGGAAGGTCTGAGGTGGAGATTAATGTACGTTTAAGGGGTCTCACTACTGATTGACAGCTGCAACCACACCACCTATTTGAGTGACATGGTTTACTCAGATAAGTAACGTCAATTGATGTGGATCTTGACTAGGTTCATGGAACCTAGATCTTTGAGCTAGCAAAGCTTAAAATGACAATTTTTCCCTTAGTTCGGGTCGTCGTGGTTCGCCCCAAATGGGTCGTGCATGAAGAGTAGAAAAATGGAGAATGCGAAAGGGTTTGGGAAATTTTTTATCAAGGTGATTGGGGCAGGACAGAGATGGTATTTTCACCTTCGACCCAAACCCGCCCCATCAGCACTTCTATATGTACTCAATGTTATCGGTCCTTTTTTTTTTTTTTGTTTAAATTTCATTAAGGTTTAGTCGAACGAGATCGTAAAGAAAGGTTCGTATACATTGGAACACTCGAGGATTAACCTGTTAGGGCCACTTTAAGATTTTGTGCTTTTTTAAGAGATTGATTCTTGTATGCTTTAAGAATAATTAATCATAAAATAAATAATTCAACTATTTAATAAATATTATTTTTAAAAATAATGTGAGTATGAATAACAATGGAAAGACACTTAGTAAAATTTATTGGAAAACAATATAGATGTGTGTAATGATAAAAATAGATATAGTGGGGTGGTGGTGATAACAACAGTGGCAACGATGGTTGTTGAAGCAATAGGTGACAATTGTCACTTTTTTTCTTTCTTTCTTCTTTGTTTTTTATTTATTTTTTTATTTTTTTATTTTTTTTCAACAGAGGAAATACATGTGTAAAAGTAAATAATGCCATTTGTACAAACTAATGCGTATATATTCATTAGCGGCCTATCTCTAGTTTTTAATGAAAGCATGATTTTAAAACTAGGATATTTTATTACTAAATATTTTTTTTATTTGCTTAATTTCAAAGTGAAGTAGTTTTTTA